TATAAGACAATTCTAAATATTCTTCATCGGTAAATGCATTTATATTTTTATTTAAACAAATAAATAAAATAAAAATAAATAAAAGAATTAATTTAATTAATTTAAACATTTTTTTAAATTTAATTTTTAAATGAATTTAATTAAAATTAACTAATTTTAAAGGTTATTTTATATTAAAATTTTTGGAAATTAAAAAAAATTTTTTAAATTCTCTATCATGCGCAAGAAGCCTTGCAAGAAGCCCTGCCCTTGCGTTTCCCCTAAGCCCGCCCACACATTTTTAATTATTAAAAAATTTTTTAAATTGGCATTTCCGTTTTTATTTTAATGAATCGAGACTTGATTAAATTAATTTTTTAAACCTCGAAAAAAATTTTATAAAAAAATATTAGTTAATTAAAAAGATATTTTTTATTGTTAAAATTAACTGTAAGGATGATTCACCCATCAGCATTTAAAACGCTTAGGCGGGGGTTAAACGATCTAAAAGTCTTTTTCGTGAGCTCCTTTTGTCGTGTGGAAGCGACTAGCAATCACTACGAGGAGGTCGCAGGTTCGAATCCTGCCCGGTGGCTGAACTTTTGCAAACTTTTTCTTAACATTTTTATTCTAAAAAATTTTAATTTAATTTTAAAAAATTTTTAATTTATTTTAGAAATTCTTATAAAAATTTAAAGGTTTTATTCTCTAAAAAAATAATAAATTAAATAATTAATAAAAAAATAAATTTAAATTTAAAAAACCTCAAGAAATAAATTAGATAATTAAATAAATTAAATCACAAATAATTTTTTAATTAAAATAATTTAAATAAATAATTCTCGAGACTTTAATTAATTTAATTTAAAAATTTCCCGAATTAAATTTTTGAGAAAAATTTTTTTTCTCCCTGCTACTACTTCCGGCGCCTTTCCATTGTTTTATTTAATTTTTTATTTTAATATTTTACTCCCACTCGTTTAACCTTTTAATAATTTTTATTAAATGCCCTTTCTTTTTATTATTTTGCAAAAAAAATTATTAATTATTAACTATTTCCGATTTTTCTTTTAATTTTAAATCTCTTCATATTTAATTAATTTTTTTTTCTCTAATATTTTTTATTTAATTTTAAACTTAATGAAAAATTAAAATATTATTTTTTATTATTTCAATTAATAAAAATAAAAATTAAATTTAAAAAAATAATAATTTTCACTTTTTAGTAATTATTTGATATTGCTGTAATATTCAGCTCTTAAATAATAACTTTGTCAAGTTTAAAATTCAAAATATTATTTTTAGAAATAAAATAAAACTAAAAATATTTTTTCTAAAAAATACTAAATAAATTAAAAATAGATATTTATTCATTTTTTTATTAAAAATTTTAAAATTAAAAAAGAGTGTAAATTATCTATGTTTTGGTTAAACCCTTTATTGTTAATTTAAAAAATTCTAATTTATTTATTTTTAAATTTAATTCATTATTCTTTTAATTATTTTTATTCAATTCTTTTTCTAATTAAAATTATTTTTTCCCAGAATTACAACAAAAAGGTTCATTTTTATTATCAAAACAGCAATCATCATATTTACACATTCTAAAGAAAATTTTTTTTTAAATTTTAAAAATTAATTTTTATTAAAACTATACACTGTATGACGTTCATTGCTACAAGGTTTAACTAGCTGAACGTTAAGAGAATTAATTTGAATAAATAATAAAATAAAATATAAAAATAAATAAATAAATTTAATAGACATTTTATTTTAAATTTAATTTTTTAAAAGAAGTATTAAATTTTTATTTTAATTGAATTAAAGAATGGATTTAAATATGAAATTTATTTATAGCTAAGCAAATATATACCTTTCTAATTTTATTTGTTAATTTATTTAAAAATTATTTTTAAAGTTTGTATAGGTTTCCTTATTTAATTTTTTTTAATTTTATTTTTTTTAATTTAGATAAAAAGTTTTTTTTAATTTTTATTAGGGTTTGACCCCGTACCCCGTTCCCGAACGATTTTTTCACGATTCTCCCCGACCCGAACCCCGCCCCGAAAAAAAGTGAAAACCCCGTACCCCGACCCGAAAAGTTTCGGGGTTATCGGGGTTTTATATACCCAAAAAATGCCATTTTTGGGAGAATTTTAAGAGAAAAATTTTAAAAATTTCCTCCCAATTTACTTTGCTTTTAGTATTTTGAAAGAAAAATGAACGAAATATCAAAATTCTTTTTCCTACTCTGTTAAGAGACTTGTGGTTGAGTGGTATGGTTGTTGGTTTTAGCCTAGTATATTGACATCAATAGGATTGGGTTCGATCCAAATAAGATAAACTCGTTTGTTTTGGGATTTTTCTTTACAAAATCAAGAGTTTAATTTTAATTTAAAATGTAAATCTTATTTTTAAATATTATCAACCATAAAAAATAATGTAAAGATTTTTGTTTAGCTAAAATTTCAAAAATTTTCTTGGTCAGAGCTAAAATAAACGAAGACATCCGGCTTTTTGACCCAAAATATTTTAAAAATTTTCGACTGTGGCTCTGGAAATGTAAGAAATTTGGCTTCTTGGCCTTCCAAGTTTCTCAAAGTTTTGCCTGCGGCGCAGAAAACAAAGAGTTACCCTGATATTCTCCAAATCCTTAATCACTCGATAACCCTTAAATCAATGATATCCCTTGAAACTACCCTTAGTCCCTACAAATCTTCTTATATCCCCAGATATCCGCTTTAATCCCTCCAAATCCTCCTTAATCACCTCCAGATCCAATTAATCACTCGAATTTCTCTTATTTCCATTAATCCCACCTTATTCTCATTAATTTATGAATATATTAACGAAAATAGACCCAAAATGGCTCATTTTTAGAGCATTTTTTCTTTAAAAAATTTTTTCCTAAAACCCCGTACCCCGACCCGAACCCCGACCATATTTTGCTCCCCCGACCCGAACCCCGCCCCGAAACAATTCGAAAACCCCGTACCCCGACATACCCGCCCCCGAGCGTTCGGGGTCAAACCCTAATTTTTATAGACTTCCTTATTTTATTTAATTTTAAAGCTTTTTATATTTATATAGCTTTAAATATATTAACTCAAAATTTAAAATATCTTTTTTTTGAGTTAAAAAAAGTTTACGTGGATTAAATTAATTAAATAACTTTGGGAATTGTTGTTATTCTTATTCATTTAGATAGAGATGTCGGATATAGTGTAGTGTACCGGTGGTAAAAGTTCGGGACGTGACATATGTCATTCGATTCGTCTCGACGAGCTGAGTCGAACGGTACCACTCCCTACTTTAGGAAATAATTCTGGACCGAGTTATAGGTCCCGAAAAATCGAAAAACAAAGGGGGGACCAAGCACATTTTTGGGGTGAAAAATTCGAAAAAGCAAATTATAGCTCATTCGAAAGAGCTCGTCGAGCTGAGTCGAATGACACCAAAATCAGCTTGATTGAACAAGTTTGAGTCGAGATATAGGGCTCGAAATGGTCAAAAACCATAGGGGGGATTTTATGGTCAAAAATTCGATTCCATAAATGTTAGCTCATTCGAAAGAGCTCGACAAGCTGAATCGAATGACACCAAAATCATCGTGATTGGACAAGAATAGACAAAGTTATGACACCAAAAAACAAAACACCTAAACCTATGGAGCGTCGGCGAGGCGCTTGTGCAAAACCCCGCGCTTCGCGCGGGGTTTTGCGGCACGCGCCTCGCGGGGAGTCTACGGGCGCTTGGTCTGGGCTCGTAACATAAACCTATTCCTATCTCCCTTGCTCTGGACGTATTTGGGGCCTCCGTAGCAGCAAAAATCTCCACAAATGACATAGGTAAGGAGCTAAAACAAACGGTCATAACTTTGTCAAATCAAGTCGGATTTTGTTGATTTTGGTGTCATTCGACTCAGCTCGACGAGCTCTTTCGAATAAGGTATAATTTGCATTTTCGAATTTTTCACCCCAAAAAAGTGCTTGGTCCCCCCTTTGGTTTTTCGATTTTTCGGGACCTATAACTCGGTCCAGAATTATTTCCTAAAGTAGGGAGTGGTACCGTTCGACTCAGCTCGTCGAGACGAATCGAATGACATATGTCACGTCCCGAACTTTTACCACCGGTACACTACACTACAGCCGAGATGTCAAACTAAATTTTTATAGTTCCAACACATGGAGCTAGAACAATAATTATGTGCAGAGTTGTTTCATGGATTTTGGGGAAAGGATACTTACCCAATTAACTTACCAGACCTCAATCCAATGGATTTTCAGTCTGGTATTAGATACTCCCGCACACGATACACTTCAACAGAGGCACTTAAGACGGCATCAGAATAGAAGAAATTTAGAAAAATCATAGAAGAAAATTTTCGGAAGCGTTTGTGTGCGTGTATCTCAGCGGCCGGATCTCATTTTGAAAATTTGTTATGAATATTTATTCACAAGATTCTTATAAACGTTGGTATGTGAAAACTAATTTTTATTTTGATATAAAAAAATAAATTCATTTTGATTAATTCCGGGAACTTTTTACGCACCCTGTATAAATAGTTAACACTAATATTTTGAAAGTTTTGTTGTAAAATCTTAACTCAAGTGTTAATCTTTTTATTTCATAATGCCCCAATATAATTATTAAAAAAAATTTTTTTGACTGATAAAGTCCTCAAAATATAGACAATATGTGAAATTTACGGGTTAGTTAATAATTAGTTAACACACTTTATGCTATACTTTAGCTAACTCTTTCCAGGGGCATATTTTAATTGTCCACAGATTCTGCATTCTGTGCACAGACCACAGATTCTGTGCATGTTTCCACAGAATCTGCGGACTCCTTTTTCCGCAGAATCTGTGGAATAATTAAAACAGGATTTCTGTGGTTCTGTGGTCTGTGCACAGACCACAGACCGCAGAATCTGTGGACAATTAAAATAGGCCCCAGATTAAATAACGAGACAATAACACAAAAATTTATCAAAGTAGTTAAATTCTAAATTAATTTTCTTAAGCATTTGATACAAAAATTAAGGGTTGTTTTCCACTAATTAATTGGTTATCTTCATTATTTCCTCTATTTTCCTCCCTATTATTTATTAAAATTTCTTTTTGTGATTGATTAAATTTTAATCTTCTTTGTTCTTGCTCTTGTTGTAATTGCCTTTCTTGTTCCTCCATAGCTAATAATTCTGCTTTGAATTGTTCTGTTTGTTGTTCTTCTTGAGCTACTTTGATAAAATTATCGACAATAATTGTGATGGGTAGAGCTGGAAATTTAATTGAAATATTTTTTTGGGAATATTTTATTCTGGAAAATATTTTATCCGAATATTTTTTCTGTAAATAAATTAATTAAGAAATTAAAATTTTTCTTGGAAATTAATTAAAACTTAATATTCTTCCGTTACTTGAATAACACAGAATTTTTATTTATCCTCGATGTAAAATACCGTATTTCCTCTATTAGAATGCCATGGCATTCTATTTTTCAATCTGCTTTGAACTATACACTGTATGACTACTGTATGATTTTTTTAAATTTAGATAAAAAGAATTCGGGGGAAATATAAAGATTAGGAGGGGGGTCCATCTTTCGGGAACAAAATGTAAAGTCATTCCAAAAGATTAATTATCTATTTTTCAATCACCTTCAAAGGTGGCATTCTATTAGAGGTTGGCATTCTAATAGAGGAAATACGGTAAGTAATTTTCAGAACTTATTTGTTAGTGCATTTCCGGAAATAAAATAATAGCAATTATAAATTAATAATCTTGAATTTACTGACCTAATACAAGCACTCCACTCATTATAGCGGCAGAAGCAATTATTTTACCCACTAAAAATAATTTTATTTTAATATTGAAAAATATTTTTTAATTAATAATTCTTGTTATTTTAAAATTTTTAACATAGGTAATTTATCCCTCATTTTTCTTACTTGTAGTTGCTGGCACAACATCTCCATACCCGACAGTAGTCATTGTAACAATACACCACCTATATTTAAAATAATTTAAATATTAAATTTTAATTATTTCACCAATAAGCAGCTGGAATGCTGGTGAAGGGTGAACCTTTCTCGTCTTTCTACAATTAATTATTTAATTAAAATAATTTATTTAAAGAAATTTATGTTCAACTTTAATTAACAAATACCTCAAGAAAGTATATCATAGTTGAGAAAAAGACAACCCCAGTTAACAATACAATAGTCATCATTTGCAATTGTTTTTGACTCCTTTAGAAATTTAATCGTGATATTTTATTAAATATACGAATTTATTATTTTTCCAGAAATGAACAATAATTTATGATTGTTCGGAAAATAAATCAAAATTCCATAGCTTCGGAACTAGGGAAAAATCGTCTAAATATTTCTGTTGGTTAAAAAAAGGACTCTACATATTTAATAATTTTGCCTTTCCGATAATTAAATATATTTCATCTCATTCCTGAATTAATAAAATAAAACATCTGATCAGCCTTCAGAAAATAATAATTAGGATATCTTTCCCAGATTAAATCAAATTTTAGTATTTCCTCGAATATTTTCAGAATTATTTAAAATAATTTAAATTAAACACACCTTTGCAAAGTCATTCCAAAAGTCTGCAAACCAGAAGAGAACCGTCCAAGTTTAATTATTCTAATAACCCTTAATACCCTCAAAATACGTACAACCAAAAAAGCCCAACGCAAATCTCTCAACTTTTTGTCATCTACCCCCATTAAAGTCAACATAAGTTCTAAATAAAAGGGCATAATTGCCAGAAGGTCAACCTTCAAATTAAATTTAATTTTTAATTTTTAATTTATTTATTGAGCAACCAAATTGAGAGGTTTCAAAACAAATCTCAATTTTCTCGGTGCCGCAAAAAGCCTCAATAAATATTCTATTGTAAAGAAGGCTATACAAACACGCTCGGTAAATACAAATATTGGATGTTCGATCCTTATTGGTTCTATATCTTCTTGAATTATTTCTGTTCCGTTTGGAAGCATAATTGTCTGGTTTCCAGAAGAGACGTATTCGATAACCTTTTAAGAATAATTTAATAATTTTTAATATTTTCCCGTAAATTGTATTTCTTGTAATTATTTTTCAGAATTAAGTATTTATAATAAATCAAAATTTAGAGCATTTTTTGGATTCCCCCTCCCACCTAGTGATTCACCTGGAGCATCTAAAACGCTTAGGCGGGGGTTAAACGATCTAAAAGGATAAAAGAGAAAGCATGCCACGGTATCTCAGTGGTAGAGCCTTTGTATATGGTGAGGGAAAGCACCTAGCAATAACTGTCAGGAGATCGTAGGTTCGAATCATGCCCGGTGGCTAAACTTACGCTAAACTCTTTCTCTTGTTCGAGTCTTAGTTACTATTTCCATCTTCATGCCTATCATTAATTTTCCTCAAGAAATAATTTCCGGAAATAATGCAAATCAGAATATAAACGGCTCCATTGCTTCCGGTAGAAGCAAGTTTCTATTATAATTATTTATGGTTTACAGACCTGAAAATCAGGTATTGTTCCAAAACTTAAGCCAAGAACTGATATCATAACAAACATTGTTGAAGATAATTCGAAAACCTTTGCCTAAAAGCTTAACATAAAATATATTCCACTCAAAGTGACCTGCATAGACGACCCTGGTCTCTCCAAAAATGTCCACATTCTTCGTCTAAACTGCCCAAATCTCAATTTCTCAAAGCTTGTATCATCCACTTTATCCTCTTTACTTGACTCTAGAAGCCGTTCAAGTGGTGAAACCGAATCAGAACAGCAAGCGCCTTTAAATCAGAATTATTACCCAAAGAGGTGATTTATCTAATTAATTAACCAATATAGCTTGTTGGCACACGCCAAAATTCAAGTTCGGCACTAAATGCGGAAGGACATAATTCAGGGGGTTTGTGCACAACTCCATTAGCATAGTATTGAAAAACTGCTTCAAAAGCAAGTGGCGATCTCTTAATTTGGGATTTTATTTTTAAGGTATCTTTAAGAATATACAACATAATGTGGAGAAGATAAACCCTAATTAAAATAAATCAAAATTTTTAACTGTCTGGAAAACAAAAAATAATGATTTTACTTATCGTATAACCTGTATTAATTGCCCTCCCTCAAATAATTATCCTCCCCACTTCCATTAATTACCAAATTCAGCATAGAATGGGGTATGCTGAATCGTATAACCCTGTATAATTACCCCCTCGATTAATTACTCACTCCACCGGAAGGTCGAAACAATAATTATCCAGGGTAGTTATTAAAGGATATATGGTAAATTTACAGTCTTCACTGAAACAGAGAAGGGAAAATCATATCAAAAACCCTCTCAATTAATTAACTAAAACACTAAATACGAAAACAAAATAAATAAAAATAAACTCTTCATAAATTATTATTAATTTTCAAAGTTACCTGGAAATAATAGGCACGTTCGGGGAGCAAAAAAGCATCAGCAACCTAATTGTTTTAAAGTTAATTTATAAATTAATTAAAATTACTTTCAATTTAGCTCTATGAGATAGCTGCACAAATTTGGTAAGGAAGGTACTTGGATCAGCATGCAAAAGAGCTTCAACAAGAACAAAAAAAGGTACTCCTCCAATGTTTAGTCTACATGATTTAAAATAATTTTTAATTAATTTTAAATAATTTTAAATTTATCTTATTAGCTATGTTTGTAAAAAAAGATAAAATTATATAAATATCAAGAAGGCGAAGGATTTTTTCTGTTTCGTAATCTGAAAGGTAATTCTTAAGCAGTTTAGTTATAAAATCCGAGTATGTCTATAATATTCTATATTTCAGGACAATCTAATACTTTTCTCAAAGGATATTAAATAAACTAACATTTAACTCAAAAATATTTAACTGTTTAGTGTGATTATGTTAATATTACTGGCGCAGCCTTTTAGTACTTTATGTGTGCTAGGGTCTACTCGAAAATAAGGTTGTCGGATCCGGATATCCGATCCGAAATGAGAATGGATATCCGAAAATTTTCGGTTCGGATACCGGATCCGGATTTCCAACTATCTGACAACCTTACTCGAGATCATAATAATCGCCTGTTCTATTGTTATTCTTGTATTGTGTTTATTAGTTACCTCAAAACAACAGAATTTTCCTCTTCTCTAAATTCCGATGGTTGTCGGGAGATCCTCTCATTCTCCCTTTCTTCCGGTTTTTGTTTTATTTTTATATTTAAAGTTTTATTTCCATCATTTTTTTCAATTAATGGATCCTTCTCTAAATAACTCAAATTTTCATCTTCTTCAATTACCGCCAAATTTTGATGATTTTCTGATTTTGTCTGATTTTCTGATGTTGATAGATTCTAGGGAAATTTTTTTTGTCTAAAAATTTTTTCTTTTCATTCCCCTACCAAAAAAGAGGAGGGATCGCCTTGCATCCAAATTTGGTCCAAAACTGTGCCATTTTGTCTTTCTGCGTGATTCATAGCATCCGTTTTTCTGATTGCCAGGGACCGTTTCTTCCTGTGTTGTTGTGCTGCAGCCATCATGTTTCCAGAAATTCTGATTTGAAAAATTAATTTTTAAAAATTGTTCTGATTTTTTAATGTTTAGGAAATTAGTATTTATTTAAATGTTTTTTGTATGTTTTTAAATTTTTTGATTAGAATAATTTTTAAGGGAAAACATCGAAACAAACAATTAAAGCAAAAAAGTAAATTAAAACAAAAAAAATCAGAAATTAATCTAAACATTAAAAAAACAAATAAACAGAACAAATCAGAATTAAATCTGAACATGAATAAACAAAATTATTTAAATATAAATCAGAATAATTCTAATATTAAAGGAAAACAAACATATTAGAAATCAGAATTTTATCCAAACATGAAAACCAGAATTCCATTTGAACATGAAAAGAAACAAGTAAAACAAACAATTAAAGCAAATGGTATATTAAAACAAAAACAAATATGTAGAATGAAAAAATCAGAATAAATCTGAACATGAATAAACAAAATTATTTAAATATAAATCAGAATAATTCTAATATTAAAGGAAAACAAACATAACAGAAATCAGAATTTTATTCAAACTTGAAAACCAGAATTAAATTTAAACATGAAAAAAATAAGTAAAACAAACAATTGAACAAACAGAAAAGAAAACAAATTAACCCTACGAACAAACAAAAAATTGAAACAAATATGAAACCAACAATTAAATTTATGAACACGTGATAAACAATGTTCAACAAAATAAATAGACATTTAAAACATACATATAAACAAATTAAGAAATTTAATAATCAAACAGCATTGTTTGCGTCGAAGACGTCGACTAATATATTTATTCATCATTTTTTTTAAAAATACCAATATTTTATTAAATTCATTTATTTAGGCAAAAAAATAAAAGAGGCATTTATTTCTTTTTTTCAATTAAATGCTAACACAAAAACCTCAAAAAGACAACAAAAATAAACACAAAAAGAATATAATAATTGACTAAAACCCCAAAATTTTTTTGTGGAAAGCTAAATTTAATTTAATAGAAGCTCTTTTCTTTCTAATATTTTTCCAGTTTTATTATTTTTAAATTTTATTTTAATTTTTATTTTCCTGTCTATGTGAATGTTTAACTCATTCCTTCTAAACTTAAGTTAATTCCAAGTCCCACAACTTTATAAAAAATAAACAGAAAAAATAGGCATGAAGTCATTTGACTGAGAATTAAATTTGCTTCAAAACAAAATTTAAACGAAAATTTTAGACAAAAAATCAAAAAAGTTATGCCCAAAAATCCAACATTTTAGTCTATTTTTGGAGGTTTTTTGATCAGAACTTTTCTGATTTTTGGCGTAAATTTTTTATTTAAATTTTATTTTATAGAAAATTTAATTCTCTCTCAAATGATACCAAAATCACTAAAATTGGTGCATCAGAATCTAAGTTTTAAGCCCAAAAATCATCCCCTACTTAACTCAACTTAAGCCAACCACTCATTAATTATTTCTATATAAATTTATCTTAAACTTACGGTCTAAGCATAGAAGTAGCGCTAACACTTGCGCAACTCATTTTTAGAGCAATGTGCATACAATAAATAAATTTAAATTTTTATATAATTTTTTGAAGACTTAAATTATATAAATAAAAATTGGTAATAATTTATTGGGAATTTTTTAAAGATACGGAAATCTCGTTATTAGTGCCAGTAAGGGAAAAGGAAATAAACAATAGATTATATAAATTATGTTTGGACTCCTTGAAAAGAAATATTCAGTACCATTCGAAGTGACTTGGTAACGGAGTCGAGTGATACTTTCCTTGCGCGTTTTTCGATTATTATTCGAAAATCGCGCAAGGAAAGTGTCACTTGATTCCGTTCATTCACTTCTCAATTACCAATAAAATTATTATTTAATGTGGGGGTGAACGAAAATTATCGGAGGAAATCGTTGGAGCTTAAATCTTCAGGATCGGCTTTTTCCTGAATTGAGACTTTTGGAGTCTGGATTTATTCAAAAAAAGACGGAGTCCAAGTCCAAACTTAATATACCTCTGTTAGAAGCCTACTTCTAATATAAGCCCATCCGAGAAGACCCATTGAAAAATTTAAGCCCAGGGCTTATATTAGAATATTTACGGTATACATTTTCATAAAAGAATATTAAAAATTTAAAAATTCATAACTTCTTTTAATTAAGCAGAATAAAAAGGAAGTAAAAATTGACATTCTAAATACAAAGTTAATTTTGGTCTTTGAACAAGGCAGGGGAGGTTTTTATTTAATATAAAATTTCCTAAAAAGAAATAAAAGCAACAAAAAAATTTTTAAATCTTTTTAAAACTTTTTTCCTTTTATAAAATTATTAAAAGCAGCATGAAAAAATATGAAAAAATGAAAAGAAAGAAAAATAGGGGAGGGGATCACTTAAAGAATTTCAAATAATTTTAACCTCAAATTTAATAATTTTTTGAACAACTGACTTTTATTTTTTAGAATTTAATTTCAAAATAATAAAACACAATTTAAAGGGAAAAGTTGAATTATTTTTTGAAATTTTTTATTTTAAAATGTGTGGGAAAAACTTGAAGGCAGTCTATGTTTATGTGAACATGCTTTTTTTAAAAATTCATAACTTTTTAATAAATAAACTTTTTTTAAAGTTTTTGGTATCTTTCGATAGAGAATTTAATTTTCTATAAGATAAGACTAAAAATTTAATTTTAGGTTATTTTTTAATAAAAAGTTATAGTGATGTAAAGGATATAGCTATTTAATTCCTAAGGCTTTGCAGTAGGCGGCTGGTGTAATGGCTAACACATCAGTCCGGTTTACTGAAGATGCTGGTTCGCTCCCAGCCGCCGAATAACCTTTTGCTCTAGCTAAAGGAGAGAAATAGCTATACCCAGCTTTTTTACTGTGAAAATACATGCAAAAACTTAACGTTTTCTCGAAAATAACTGTGAATTTCAAAGATAACTTTTTCTGGTAAACATTCAAAAATTCTGATTTTTATTTCATTTTATAACAAATTTAATTCTCTATCGACTGATATAAAAATGGAAGATAAAATTAGTTAATAAAAATTTCATTTTATTGACAAAAAATACGTGTATTTATTAAAATTGAGTGTTTATAAAATAAATATATTTTGTACTAATGGACTTTTTTCACACAAAAGCTTAAAACATTAAAAAAAAAGCAATGGCGCAAGTCCGTCTAAAAACAAAAATAAAGGGGTTTTTAATTCCGTTATAGAGAAAAGAGAGAAATGTAAGGTGAAAGGAACACATAAGTAGTGTGAAGGGAACATTATAATTAGTTTAGTTGAGTCTTTGGTTAATAATTCTAGAACAGATGGATATTTTAAAAATCTTTTTATTTCATTCGATAGAGGATTAAATTTGCTATGAAACATCAGAAAATCAGAAATTCAAATTAATTCTGAAAAATGTTATGCGCAAAAACAGACAAAAATAAGCACAAAAACGGGCATTTTTGTCGGTTTTTTGCTTACAACTTTTTTCTTATTTAATTCAAAATTTTAATTTCCTCTCTATTTTGTAGCAAATTTAATTCTCTATCGAATGATATTAAAATCTTTTTAAAAATTTCCAGCTATTCATGAGTTATTCACTCGGGACTCAACTAAGGTATGTTTGGATGTCGTGCCGAGTACAAATTAAAAAGGGAAAATGAAAAGGAGATAAATAACGAACATTTTTTTATTCAAACAAATTAAAATGTAAAAAGGGGGGAGAGACTTGGTGCACAAAGTGACGATATTTTTTTTAAATTAATCCTTTATTTTTTTAAGAATCGATAGAAAAATTATTTGAGTGAATATAGTTAATTACAAGGACATTTTCTATTGAAAATTGTTAAAAAAATATTTTCCGAAAAGCATAATTTCTTTTTATAATTTTTTTCCAGAAATTAAATTATGTATTTTTTAGGATAATACATTCTAATTATGAAAAAAGAAAGAGTTTAGCAAAAGCCTAGCCACCGGGGAGGACCTGTGATCTCCTCAAGTTATTACTAGCCGCCTTCGCTCACCACATACAGAAGCTTTACCGTTGAGCTACCGAGCATCGACTAATGCTTTATCTTTTACCTTTTTTAGATCGTTTAACCCCCGCCTAAGCGTTTTAAATGCTCTATCATCCTTACAAAAAAGAGAGTTCAGTTCCTATTAAAAAGTGTTCAGTCAGTAGAGCACCTACATGTGGTAAGAGAATAACTAGAAGGATGTCGAAGGGTCAATTCTTGGCAGGGGCTTAGCCTTTACCTCTCTTACTACATATATTATACATATTTTCAGGAAAATAAATTCAGGAATAGACATTTGTATTTCTCCAATTATACAATTATCCGGAATATGGTACTTTCCGGATTCTGGTTAGAAAGAGAGAAATAGTCTGTTTTAGGGGATAAAAATGAGAGAAATCTCGTCCATATACCCGCAATTTTCATCCCTAATTTATTAACATAAGCATATTTATATTTTTACATAAATTATATACAACAAAGAAAAATAAAATAATTTAAAAAATTTCAAGAATTTCTTTGGAATTTCCAAAAAAAATTTTTTTTATTTAAAAAACCCACAAATCAAGCAAACGGAAAGGAAGTCTAAAGACAGACAAAAAATTTTTTTTATAAATTTTAAAAATAAAAAAAATAAATGTTGGTTTAATACAAAGAAAATTTAAACTAGCGGAAAGATTAAAAAAGAGTAAAAAAAATTTTAAGAAAAAAATAAATTTTGTTTAGTAAAATTGAACTTGTTTTAAGGAAGGAATGCGTGGGAGAAAAATGGTTGGGTAAAAATATTTTTTGTTGAAAAATGGAATTTAAATTAAAATTTCAACATTTTTTCCTTTCAGAATTTAAAAATAACGCCAAAAAAATTTTTCTCAAAAAACCAAAAATTAATTTAATAATAGAGGCCTAGAGCCCTGAATTTTAGGAAAAAAATGAGAACGGGAAACAAGGGAATCCAAATAACACCAACGGCATTGGTTCCTAAAAGAGTCGAGAAGAGGGAGAAGCTTGAAAACTTATATTAATCTTTGGAATAAAATTCGGTAATCTTCTGCCTCGTTGGTCCCTAGAAAAAAATGTGGTAGAAGAGCTTTTTCGATATTTTTGAGGTCTGCCAGTAGGTAATCGAGTGTGCTGAGTCCGAATATGGGTTCGAATATGGTAGCACTTTTTCCTCATTTTTTTCTATAGATTAATGAAACAAAAGATTACCTAGAAAGTTCTGAGAGATTCACACAAATTCTAAATTTATTTAAATATATTTAAAGGAAACTTACTATAAAATTCAGCTGGCCACAAAAAAATAAATAAAGAAAATTTAATTTTGAGTTAACTTTAATTAATTAAATAAACGTATTTTATTTATTTATAAATATTTTTATTTTTAAAAATTAAAAAGTGCTTCACAGGAAAAAGAAGAAATTCGAGAAAATGAAGTGATTTACATTTCTTTTTAATTTTTTCTTCAAAAAATTTTTATTTCAAGTATTTTCAAATATTTACCTACACACATCCCCCCTCCCCTTTAAATTATTTACAAACACAATCAAGCTTTACCCAAAATATCGAAATAAAAAATTTTAAATAAGAAGATTCAACTGACATGCATTTAAATGAAAGGTGAAAGGATGATGAAGAATAACTGAAGTTGAAAGAATAACTGTACATAGTGAGCTTTGGCTTGGGGGAACGGATGCCATCCCTATGCTAACAATAAAACCTTTATCTCCTTTACATAAAATCTAAAGACAAAATTTTTTAAATATAAAGATCAGAATATTAACCAAAACAAAACTATTATCCAAAAAATTGATTCTAGGCAAAGAATGACCATTTGTACTTCAAGCACAACAAATCCAAATTCTATTAAATAATCATTTTATTCCTAACTTTTGACGGGAACATATCTAACAAAAGCTTTTATTGGACTAAAAAAATTCATTTATGACTTTCAATACGTTAGATACCCTCTGATTTTTGTCACCTAGCCACATTTAAAACGATTAGGCGGGGGTTAAACGATCTAAAGAGAATAGAGAAATCATTAGTCAATGCCCAGGTAGCTCAGTGGTAGAGAGCTACCGAACGATGCGGATGCCAACCCTTTACTGAACTTTTATCTACTTTACATATTTAAATCCTAAAAATAAAAAATTTTTTAATAGGAAAAAGATCAGAATATTAACCAAAACTATTATCCAAATAATTGATTCTAGGTCAAAAAATGACCATCTTTTCTTTAAGCACAATAAATTATAAATTTTATCAAACAATTATTTTATTCACAACTTATGCCGGGAACACATCTAACAACAACTTTTATTGGACTACAAAAACTCATTTATGACTTTTAATCATTTACCGTATTTTTCCTTATAGTGCGCCGGTCGGTTTATTTTTCAACCATCCTCTAGAGAGGGTGAAGGGAGTCAGTCTAATAGAGAGAGTCCTGCTCTGTAACTAAACATTTACTAAACTCCTACTCAAGTTTATCTATCTATATATTTTTTCAATCTTCGATCATCTGCCCTCAATAATTTTAAAAATACAGTTAATAAAAAATTATAAAAATAGATTTTAATTGTTGTTCATTCTCACAATTTATATTTACTTAAAATTTAATTGAAGAGGAGAGAAAAAACAATTTTTTAGGCTTAAAACAAATATATTTAATTCTAAAAATAGATTTATTTTAATTAAAAGTATTTGGACTTTTAATTTTTCCAAAAAATTTTTTCGAAATAAATTTTCGAAACAAATGAAAGGGACAATCTAAACGAATATAAAAATCTCATTTAATAATTTAATTTATTTTTTTATTTTTCTCCTCCTATTGGTTTGTAGTTAGCCTTGGTTTATCATCCAGTATTTGCTAAAAAAGATTTTTGATTATTTGATCTTTTTTGTAATTAGTTGAGGTAAGAAATGAATGTCTTGAGCCTTAAGCTTAAACCTAATTAAGAAATTAACAGCCAAGATGTCCCTAAATATATGGTCGGACCAGAGATGGTTTCGAACCGATGCCCTTCCAAAATTTTGGTTCCGAAACTTTAAAAATTAATTACCCCCACCCTCCTTGAAATTTTACCTATCTCCAGGCCGTTAGTATCTGTACGAATTGAGGAGTATAGGAGAGGAAGTAACCCAACACAATACAAGGACTTTTATCAACCCGAGACTGAATTTAAACCCACGCACCAATTTTTTGACCCGTTCCCGTCCTATACTAAACCGCAACCATGAACCGAGGATTTCTCAGTTTTTGAGTTCGGCTCCGAATATTCGAAGATTTTTCTAGAATTAAAAGCTCTCCAACTTACAAGGAAACATCGCATACTGTGTAAAAAATTTCGGTATTTTTTGGTACCAATCGATAGCTGCATCGAATGATACCAAAATCAACGCGATCGGACCTGTTTCGACAAAGTTATGACATAAAGTAAACCTCTGGGAGTACTGTAAGAGTCGGCGACTTATGTCATAACTTTGTCTAAACTTGATCAATCACTGTAATTTTGGTGGCATTCGACTCGGCACGACGAGCTCTTTCTAATGAGCTATCATTTGTATAAACTTTTTTTTACTCCAAAAAATCACCCCTGTGGTTTTTCAATATTTAGGGGTTTGTATCTCGGTTCAATCCTGACGGATTCCATTGATTTTGGTGTCATTCGACTCAACTGGCCATTTTGTACAAGGTTCGACAATGTTCGGGGTCAAAAATCCTGTTCGGGGGCAAAAGTCCGAATTCGGGTTCGGGTTTCGACTTTTTCAAAATCTGAGCTCGGATTCGTAATCAGCATATTTTTTTACCCTAGAAAAATCCTTTTTCTTATTTTTAAGATTTTTTCCCGCAGGGACCCCAATTCTCCGGGATTGCCGTTCCTTCTAAGGTTCTACTCCAATTTTCTAAAATAAAAATTTTTCTCAACTGTTTTTTGCCATCCATACAACATATGGTAAACAATATTTCTTAACCCCTTCAAATTAGCCCAGTGAATTTCCAAAGTTTCAGTTCTGTTGTTGTTTAAATTATTTAAATTATTAACTCCATAAATAAATTTTATTTGACAATACAACTGTTTTTCTTCCAAATTCCAAACAAGCCCAACTAAACAAAGGCCTTTTGGGGACACGAAACTTGAAGATTTATATAAATAGAGAGAAGAGGAAGAAATTTCTTTGGATTTGGAAATACCTGGAAAAATAAAAGGGAAAATATAGGATTTATTTTTAAGAAATGTTTTTGCGGACAAAATTTGCGGACAACTTTTGCGGACAAAATTTTTTTCAGTCCAAAATCAATTTTAATGTATAGCGAGCAGTAATACCAAGCCCCCTCCCTCCTAAAAAAAGTTGTAGAGATATTAGATTGTGGAACACGAATAACAGAGTTGTTCTATTAGCGGAGAAACTCCATAAAGGCTGACTCAAAATTTAACAATTTGATATTTATTTGGGGTTATGACGTCATTTAAAATTTGGTATTTCAACAGATTTTGGGAAGGTGATATTTCGGTGTTTTGATATTACGGCATGTCTCGCCCCGAAAGTGTCTCCTATAAAAATTCACGAAAATGTCCCATCCCGAGAATCGTTATATCCAAGAAATTGATATGCCTGTATTTAAGGGATTATTTTTCAGATTTGTTGGCCCTCGGGTGGGGGGGGGCCACCTAAGCAATAACCCAAATTTAAATAACCCCTCTCATTAACTTTCTAAGGTATTTAAAAATTCGGTGTCCGATTTCAAATTTTTTGTCAGCATAAATTTGTCCTAAAAATTCAAAAAATTTTATCAAAAACCCTCCCAAACCTTTACACTTCTCAATTATTCCATGTATATTTTCATTACATTCATCAGTAAGAATATCCAGTGCTCTCAAAAACAGAAAAGCATCGTTTGAATATGAAAAAGTAAATCGTTTCGAAGATTTTTTGTCGGCTTTAAACTAAAATTTGAAAGAAAATTTAAATTGGGTAATTATACTAAACTTGCGGACAATTTTTGCGGATTTTAAAAAAGTAAAAGTTTGCCCCAAAAAATAGGATTAAATGATCACTACTCGCAAATAAATGTATTTTAAATAGATTAGAACTATAAAACACCTAAATCTTGATATTAAAAAATTTTTAGCTTTCCCGAGAAAAGTTAACAGAAGTTAATCTCCAAGGGGAAATCCATTCTAAAAATTTGGCAGTCAGAAAATCTTTGGTAGCACTTTCTAACGCACTTTTCCTAGCCTTTTTTATTGTTTTGTCATCCAATTAATTAATAAAAGGAAAGGGTAGAAGAATTAAAAAAATTTTTTAAGGAAGCCCTTAGAAAAATACAATTTAAAAAAAATCCGCAAAATGTGTCCGCAAAAAATACCAAATCTTTAAAAGTTTTCTTCCTTCAAAAATTCACCTAAAAATCAAGATAAAAATTAAAAAACCTTTGCCAAATGTAAATATCTTTCATTTTCCTCCTTAGCCCCAGTCGTTTTAACACATATTCGTTCAAAGTTGTCGATAGTCAATGGAAAAGTTATTGGGCCACGAATTAGCGAATGTTTATTTTTTGAGGCTGGAAAAAATTTTTTATACGAGAAAATTAAGTAGAATTATTTTAAAAATAATTTTTAGACAAAAAAAGTTAAAAATAAAAAGAAAAACCACGAACGGATTCGAACCTTCGACCCCCTTAGGGGAAAACTAAACACCTTCCCACTACACCAAAATTGCTCTTTTCAAGTTTTATTAATTTTTAGACAAACTTTTATTTTCTTTATTTTGTTCTTCTTCATTTTTAATTGAAGCATTTTTTGTTAATTTATTTTGTGAAGAAACTGGAATATTTTTGCCAACAAGTCTTGATGCTAATCTATAATTAATTTGTAGAAGGCGTTTAGCAGAAGTTAGAGATGAGGAAATCATTGAAAAAAAGTCTGTTAAATTAAGAAAATTAAAAAAATAAAATTTTAATGGGCAGAGAAGAAATTCAGGGACAAAATGTCATCAAAATGGACAACTTTGCAGACAAAATGCCAATAGGCGAAAAAATTGACAAAATGCACACAAGGACATATTTCGACAAAATGCCCATTTGGCAAAAAAGGGACAAAATGCCAATAAGAACATTTTTGACAAAATGTCACTAGGGATTGAAAAAATTTTTTTGAGTACTGGATAAAATTTTAAATTTGAAAACAAACAACTATTTTATTGCAAAACGATTAGATACAATATACATATTTGAGATTCTGAAATAAACACAACAATAATTTCAACAAAAAATAAACATCCAATGAATCCTATTATTTACATATTTCTCTATTCCTTCCTTCTTTTCACCCAGAACTCTCAGACCCACCACTAGTTTCACTTTCATTCGAACCAGCAGAAGTACTCGAAGCTTCTTCTGTGCTGTCGGACGATTTACTGCCTTCTGAAAAGGAGGAAATTAAAAAAATCAGAGAAACATTTCTTTTTGGCAGTCGAACCCCTCTATAAGATACCCCCAATATAAGAGACCCTTTAAATTTGGATAGACACTAGGGGGGCCTATGTTGTGGAAGGTAGTGCCTAGGGCAAAATTCCCTTAATTAAGCTGAACCTCATCATAAGGATGCAGTCTTTAAGCTTAAAGAGGGGTTCCCTATGGTAAGGTCTGACGGTAATGCTTCACAAAACAGTAAAATGTTTCATGTTACTACACACGAGAGATCGCCTTTAATTTAAAGTCAAAATCAAGTAAGGACCAAAAGGTTCTAGATTTTTGACTCAAAGTCAAGAATCTGGTCAATTACGGCAAATCAAGAGTCAAACCCAAGCTTCCCCCAATTTTTATCTTAAACTCAAAACCCCCCTACCGCTTCC